CATAAGGTCATACAACTAGTAATTCAGAGAATGGAGACCAGACAATTGAATATACAGCTCAATAGTATACCAATCACTGCAGAAATACAAATGTTTCCAGAAAATATTCCTGTTTTCATTTTTAAAGGACTTTTTTAAATAGGCAAACCCAAACATTGAATAGTGAGATAGATTTTCTTTAAATTTTTTCTCTAATTAAAAAAAAGATCAGCATACTTTTATTGTAATGAGCCAGATAGTAATTATTTCAGGATTTATAGCTATTTGTTGTTTGTTTGTTTGTTTGTCTGTTTTACAATCCTTTAAAAATGTAAAAATCATTCTTCATTTGCTGGGTACAAAACCAAGCCACGTTAGGCTTGCATGCTGTGGTTTCCCAAGCCCTGTTCTAGTAGTAAATTGCTTAAATTAAAATACACATTTCATTCAACAACTTTCATAGACTCAATTAGACCTACTTTATTATTCATTCTCTTTACTTGGAGTACAAATTCCTTCCTGAGACACAGTAGAGTCCATCTTTCTACAACTGCAGGGAAACCATTTCAAAAATCATTGCAAGCTGACTTCACCTTTGCCAATATCTTTCCTTTTTTGATTATGCTCAGCTAATCAGAAAAAAGATTTCTCCACATTTACAGCTCTTCTTTTGCTTCCTTTCCTTATTTAGAATACACACAAAAAAAAGAAAAATGATAGATCTCTGGTTATTTCCACGCAACTTGCCAAGTGACTATCTATCTCTTTAATTAGATATCTGTTTTGTTTTCATTGGAAAGCAGTATTGAGAGTCTCTTCTTCCTTCGTAATGTTTACCTAATCTGTCTCTTACAGCAGGCAGAATTTAAGAACAACCTTTTCTCAGCAATTGTTTAGACAAAGGATCAGATTTGTTTTAGTATTTTAAAACACAGAAGTTAAATTACAAACATTTCAAAGTATTTCATAACATTTCTGTTAAGTTTTTTATACTTTCCTGGAAAAACATTGACATTTAAAGAAAAAAAAAGTTTTCAAGCAAGTATTTTAGAAGACTATATCACATTTTAAAAAGCCTTTTCATTAAAGACATCAACTGATCTTCATGTGTTCAGAAAGTGAGACTCTATCTTTTACAAAAATTTACAGGATTCAGGAAAACTCCAGAGAGGTCACTGCCACCTCAACTACTTCTCTTTGTATTACTTATATGCATTAAAATGATAAGGTATTGAATACAAATGCTGTTACTCCACTTGAAAACTCAACCTGAGCAATTCTTTTATGGGGAGACCTAACCATGGATAGATGCCAAGAATCACCTCCCCCATTTTTACTTTGAATGCCCACAGATCCGACTATCCCCTGCAGAATGACATGTTTCTCTCCCTGTCCTTTATGCCCAAGATCTTTTTAGCTGGTGTCTTTTTCTCTTATTCCAGTACAAAATCCCATCTTCAAATTATACCTAAAACTTCAGAGGCAAACAAAAGTAATTGTTATTTCTCTCAACGAGGAAGAGCCTTACTCGATGGAATGACTTAGCTTGGGTTTTGCTGAACCAACCAGAAGGAAATAATCAAAATGAAATCTTGAAATCAAGAAAAGAAGAAAGAAAAAAAAAGATCTCCAGGCTAAAAGGGTTGGTTTTAGAAAACTAAAGCCAAAGGTACATAGCTGATACAAAAGGTATAGTCACGACAAAGATTGACAAGCTAACTTAAGTGGGAGAAATGGAAAATGCCAAATGAAGCGTTTTACTGGAAGGTACAACTATTTATCTAACCTTCCCCTAATAAACAGACTTAGAGAAAGCAGTATTAAGAAGATTTCAATGTCACCATTATCCATTGTTAGTCCACTGGCCTTGTTTTGTTAAGCAAAATGAATGCCCCCTCAGATTTCCAGAGCACTCTGTTTAAGTCTAATAATTGTTCTAAATTATTGTTAATTATGAATCATATGAAAATATTTTGAAAATGAAAAGGATTTAGGCACATTTAAGACATGAGGAGTATAAACTTGTTTATTCAATATCTTTTAGTAACTTATGGTGAAAAAGAATATGAAAACGAATATATGTATGTTCATGTATGACTGAAGCATTATGCTGCACACCAGAAATTGACACAACATTGTAAACAGACTCTACTTCAATAAAAATATGTATTAAAAAACAACAACAACAAAATTAGGAGTGATAATATAGATAAAACAGGTAGTAGTAGTAAATCAAAAACTAAAGAAGCACGCAACATTCTTTTCTTTTTTCTTGCATATATAGGTGTAAATTGGATTATATAGTTTCTGCCAAGACTAGCCAAAGCTGAGACATCGCTCTCTACTACTTTTCAGGCCAGCCTTTCATTATGCCATTACCAAATTCTTTTGCTCCTAACTCCAGATTATTTCTGTAAATCTGGAAGTGGATTCCATAGTCTCCCCATCCTGCAAAGACCTTCTCAAAACTCTAAAGAAACTCAACTGTCAATTTTAGTAAAAATAGAAGATACATTTCAAACAACAAAAACAAATCCTAAAATAATATTGATACAATAAAAGCTGTCTTAATCCACTGCTTAAAATAACAGATGTTCTACATATTCTAATTATGTTTCACAAAGGATTTAGAAGGTATAAATAGCCTGAAAAGGCCATGGGGCTTAGGGTCAGGGAAGAAAGAAGGTTGGTAAAAAGCCTTCTACTGTGAATTCTACTTTAATGGACTTTTCAGCATCTGGCCCTGATTGAATCAGATGAGAAGCTCTTTTTCCCCTGTGACTACAAAGCATTTCGGTGTGGAAGTAAGCGTGTAGTGAGAAGCAGAAAACCAGCTGTAGTTTTTCTATTTCAGAAGAGCAAAACTCAAGGGGCAGAATAATATGAGGTTACCATGTTACATAGCACATCAAAGCACTCAGTGCTAATTTAAAATAGGACATAATGGAGACTTACAGATCTATAGACTAGTAATTTACTGGAGTTATTTCCAAAATCTTATATAATTGACATATGCTGCTATTCATGAGCTCCTAAAATACCAAGTGGCTCCAACACTGCATGAACGCTGAAAGACTAAACAATACTCATGATTTATTGAAAAATGAAACCTGAAAGACCCTGGATTAAATTATAACATGTTCAGTTATTTTTATGCTTTTCCATTATTAAAGAAAATTGAATCTGTTACCTCAGGTATTAATCAAGACTGGAAATAATTAGACATTTCTGGAAGTCCTATTTACTTTTTCAGGTCATTAGAAATCATCAACGCAAGGTGATTTGACAGTTGTTCTGATGAAGTCATGGACTCAGAAAACTTGTTTTACATCAATAAAAATTCTACCCCACAGTCAATTTTGACAATAACAAACAAAAGTACGTATCACTGCCTCCTATCAAAAGAGAGGGAAAGAAATTGATATTATAATTCATATGCACTAACTCAGTGTTGTCAAAAACTGCACCTACTTCCCGCAGATGGCAATTTGATAGCTGAAGGTATACAGTTTCAGAGTGCCATATCAGACTCTTTAAATTATCTAAAGTTTTCTCACAATTTTGTAAGATATATGCCATCTCTGTTTTGCAGATAGAAGTGAGTCTTAACGAAATTAGATAACTTGCAAAATGTTACATTGCTACCAAGTAGAGAAGCTAGGAATCAAACCAAACAATGCAACTTCTGAACCTGCCCTCAGAGACCAAACGTGAAAAAGAACAAATTGACGGACTAGAAACGGAATTGCAGCTTCAAAGTTGTATTCCAGTTTGAAGATTTCATACAGTAGAAATATCTAATTTTAAAAACTTTGATAAAAATCATTTTTAAATTTCTTTCTAAAAATAAATATTCATACGATGACTGGTCTACATCAATCAAGAGATCAATATAATGGGAGAGAGGAGAATGAAAGAAACTAGAGACACAAGTATTTGTAATACATGGTTCTTATTTGAGTCTTGGTTAGAAAAATTAAAAATACTTTTGGCAAAATTCGGGAATTTGAATGTGGACTGAGTTTTACATTATATGTGTGAATTATTAATGTTGCTATATGTTGTTGTGTTGTGTTATAAAAGAAGGCTTTTTAGAGATAAATACTGAAATATTTATAGATTAGCTATCATGGTTTCTGTAATTTACCTGAAAATATTTCAGCAAAGCAACTGATTAAGCATCTCTAGCAAAATGTTAACCACTAAGAAATCTAGGGAGTGGATGTATAGTTGTGCATTATACTACTTTTCTCACTTTTCTGTGTGTTTGAACATTTTTCAAAATTAAAAAAAAACAATTTTTTTAAATTACTCATGTTAAAAAAAACTCAGTGTTTATCTTTCAGCTCTGAAGTAATTTCCTTTCACCAGTACAGCTGAGCCTTGAACAACATGGGTTTGAACTGCTTGGGTCCACTGACAAGGGGGATTGTTTTTAATAAATACTACACTATAGTACTACGTGATCTGTGGTTGGTTGAATCTGTGGATGCAGAACTGAGGATACAGAGGGCTCACTGTAAAGTTATACGCAGATTTCCAACTGTGCAGGTTGGTGTCCCTAACCCGAGCTGTTCGAGGGTCAGCTATATGTAGCATTGTGTTATTTTTTTTAATTCTCTACCCTTTGCTAAATTGTATTTCTTGATGGAGGAAAAATGGTGCTCTATCACATGAACTGTCAGAGGGCAATCCCTCTGCTTAATTTGAGAAGCCAACAGGAAAGGATGGAAGATTTGTTCCTTCTTGGAAGACCTGGGCCATGGTTGTTAAAGTAGCTTTAAGTGTCATCAATCATTATCACGCTTCTTATCAATCAGATCCACTATTCATTCAGAACCTCTTATTGTCACCGTGTTTATCAGGAAGAAACTGATGCACAAAGGACTACTGTCAACCTCAGCAAATTACACGTATCCTTTCTTTGTCTTTGAAATCAAATTCCTTGTCAGAAGTAACCCTTATCCTAAATCCAATACATTTCCTATTTCCATAAAACTCAACTGGAGAGATATAAAACTGGAAAACTCTCTTGCGTTTTCTCTTTCTTTGCTTCCATACCACCCTAAAAGGATCAGCTGAAGGCAATCAATTGGATCCCACATCCTAAGAAGAAAGAGGCACACCAGGCCAGGTATATGGATATCTTAGATTGGGGGCTAATATATTCAAATGTCAGCTAAGCAGTTTTCAAGTTCTATACATAAATAATAGTAGCAGTTCTAATACAGTTATTTTCCTCTGTTCTTGTGAACTGATAAACTACGCGATAACAGATTCAACCTATCTGTTCCTAGAAGAAAATATGATCAATGGGGAATATTTCTTAATCTTGAAAATAAAAAGAAGAAAATCTGACAGGATTAGGAGCCTGATAAAATAGTAATAATTTCTTTCTCCAATTGGGCCAGATGGCTTTCTTCTTAGTAGACTAGCACTATAATAACCACCACTGAGCCTTTATCATGGACCAAACATTGTTCTCAGTATAATCTGTAATATATGTTATTCCAGCCACTCCTCAGGACTATCTTGAGATGTAAGATTACAACTCACTCAAAGTCACACAGTAAATGGCAGAGTTGGGATTTAAATCAAGAATGATTGACTCTAATACCCTCTGGTTTGATAAACCACCGGGCTATATTGTGAAGTGTGTCTGATCTGATAGCACACCACACTGATGTGTGCACACTAATATACTTGCCCTAATAACTACTCCATCTACACAAATATTTAACCATTATTTTGTTTTCTAAAGTCAAGCTGAGATGTATATACTGTATACATGATCAAAATAAGAAGAATAAAGGGCCATGCCCTTCCCTTACTCTCCCCTCCTACAATCTGTAGCCAAAAATACAATTGTCTTTTGGCAGGTTTTTTTTTAATATTGATTAAATCTGCACTGCATGTTAAGCATGATGATATAAAATGAATAAAACATAATTCCTATCATTAAGGATTTAGAAAAGGGGGATCAAATGGTAAAATCTTCAGTAGAATGAAATTTGGTAAAGAGTCCATTTGATTCTTTGTCCTACGTAACAGCCTTATAACATAGAGACAAGGAATACCTTTCTTTGCTTAAAAAAACATCATGGAACATTTACAAAATCATGTTCGGTAAACATCAGGTAGTTTGTATGATAGTTTACCAAATAGGGAGGCTTCTAGAACCTGAATAGAAATAAGAAGAAAGTTATTTCCTTCTCTTATTGCTAAACTTCCTAAGATCCTGCCCTTCCCAGGCAATCTTTAATATCACTGGTGAATGCTCATGCTACATACGAGTTACAAGAATAATTCTTGACCATCCTCCATTGCTTTCTCTCCGAAAGAATGTGTTTTAGCCTGAAGCAATTTTGCTGCACCACTATGAAGTGAAAATATATACATAATTTTCAAGAACCATTAGCCCCTTTCAAACTATACTTTCTAACAAAAATAAATCATTTACCAAAAAAAATGCATCACTCTCCCACAGTATCATTATTAAATAGTGAGCCACTTTTCTGCTTTTCCCAGGAGCCAACAGAAAAAAATGAAAACTCTGCCACTGCTGTTGTGCATCTGTGCACTGAGTGCTTGCTTCTCAGTAAGTATCCACCCAAATAACTTTTATTCTTTCTTGTAGATCAATAACATTTGGTGTATATAGCTAAGTGAGACTTCAAACGTACAACATACAATTCCTATTTCCAAGAAGCTTGGCATCTTCTGTTTTGGCTGAAACATAGGATAACAAATACTTAAAATACAGGAAAATGATTTGGGTCATTTAACTGATATTTGTATAGCACCAACTTTATCATGGGTGTGATGCAATCAGGTGGAGATACACAAGACAAATCATGTAGGGTCTCACTGGTATAGAATATGGATTCCATTCTCAGTATACCAGAAGTCTTGGGATGATTCTCATGTCAACAGAGGAGTGACATGACTCTGGGTTCTGGGGAGAAAACAGATTGTGGGGGGACAAAAGTTGAGGTAAAGAGACCACTCAAGAAGCTATAGCAGTGGTCCAGATAAAAGATGGTGGTGACTTGCACTAAATGTCAGCAATTAAAGCAAAACATGAGGGTGGATTTAAGATCTATTTTGGTGATTAAGTCTACTATAACTTCTGCTGGGTTGAGTGTGTGGTAAAAGAAAGAAATGAACAAAAGTGTTCTGTTTTAGATATCTTAAATTTGAAATGGCTATTGGACTTCTCCAAGGAGATGTCAAGAGGCAATTGGATGTACATTGTTTGGGGTTCAAAAAGAAGTCCAGGGGTGAAGTCTATATTTAGAATGTATCTGAAGCCATAGGACCTTACAAGATCACCTAGAAAGAAAACACAGGAAGTTTGAATACAAATAAAATGAAGAAACCACAAAAAAGCACAGGAAAGTGTGGTTTCCAAAACCACCAGAAAAATGACAAAATGGATCCTACCTTTAAGGTATTTAGGGTCTACCAAGAAAGGAAGATTAAAATTAATGATTCAAAGTGATACATGGTGTAAAAAAATAACCATATTTGTCTCAAAGGCTATAAACTTCTATGTATTTGTTCACTTTTATTTTAACAAAACTGAAGGAAGAGTCGAGAAGTAGAATATAGATTTATTGAGCAAAGCTAAATAGCCTCAGAATATTATGATTGTAGAGAGTTGACAGGATAGGAGAACTGATAAGGTGGATGGAATCTATTAATGGATACTCTCATATTCCCCACTTATCACATAATATCCTCCACATCGCCAAAAAATATCATCTTAGGTGCTGGACCCTAATGCTTATTTCTATGATTGTAGCAGAAAGTACACTCAAATGGGGCTCAGAGATATGGGTTTAATTCATCATCTGAACATCCAGATGAATCCTGAGCTACAGTCTACCTATAGGACCCCAATTACCCTATGTAAAAATAGTAATAACAGTATGTGCTTCACAAGGCTGTTGAAGAGTAAAAGAGAACACATGCATTTAGTAATTGTAAAGCATAGTATAGATGTAAATATTATGACTGTAAGATTGTTATAATCTCTATTTACATACTAGTTGATAAGGATTTATGGTCTGAATATGCATGGTGATATTAACATTTTAATAAGTTAAATTTTAACAAGTTAAATTTTAACAAGAAACCCCTGGTTACCAAACACCTCTAGATTACAAGAAATGGCATTCCAAGCAACATAAATCATTGTGTAATGGTGGAATGGCTAAAGCTGTGTTGTTATTTGGGGGAAGCCCTTCCTGGTACTTCCTACAAATCCAAGCATCAAAGAATCAACTCTTCCACCTGTACAGGATAAATGGAAACTCTCTACACTGCCCAATTCTCAAAACCCTTCTAGTGAGAGAAAGAATTTCCAAAGAACTTGAATATGAGGAGGTAGCACAGCAAAACCTTGACCTGGTCCTTAGAAAGCACGAAATGTACCAGAGGGAGGCACCAACCCACAGTAAGAAAAGGCCAGTCCTGGAGTCCTGGGAACAACCTACTCTGCTTTTGTGGAGTGATTTCAGGGAGCAGATAATCTGGCCTCTGTCTTTCAGATGCTCCCCCCAAAAGATTGAGGAGGTGTATTCCGGAGTCAGATGAGGAGCTCTGTTAAATATAACATTACTTAAATATGCTATTCTGTTCCTCTTTGGAGAAGTATTACTGGTTTCCAAATGGTCATAAAGATAGACTAGTAATCAAAAATTAAGACGTTCAGTGTGCTTTCTAATTTCAAAAAAGTGCCTATCTGACTTTGCACCCTTCTAGTTCTCTTCCTATTTCTCTGTTTCTTTCATGGCCCATTTTTCCCTCCTTCTCCAACTCCCCAAATTTGGCATTCCTCTAGTGATTTTAGGAATCTTCTGCTTCCTCTGAACCCTCCTTTCTTGCTGCAGGTGTCCTGTGCCTCTCTGCCCTCCCCGTCCCTGACTGCACTTCCTCTCTGCTCCTTTCCCCACTCCAGCCCACTCTCCTCTCCCCCTTCCTTGACTCCAGTCCACTCTCCTATCCACCTGTCCCTGTGACCAGTCAGTTCTCCCCTGGCTGCTCACCTCTTCTCCCTCTCCTCTCCCCTCAAAGTGTGATTTGTGTATGGAGAGACATTCTTCTAAAAGTTACTTAATCTCTCTAGGACTCAGTTTTCTCATCTTTATAATGAGAAAAATAAGAGTACTCACCTTATGGTGTTATTAGGGAATTGATAAATTCATATTGTAAACCACTTAGAATAGGGCCAGACACAAAGTGCTATATAAGAATTTTTTTTGAAAAATAATGGATATGAACAGGCAAATGAGAATATCTTTAAACTGCTTTTCTTGGTTTATCTATATTTACTATATGTACTTCCGTACTTCAATCATCTGAGCTCAAATCTTTAGAGGTATTTTCAACTCTCCCCTTCTCAAGCTTCCCTAAACCCAGTCCCAGTCAACAAGTTCTATTAAAGCCATCTATAACTGCTAATCATAATAATCAGTCAATATATTTTAAGTAAACTAGTCAAACTGGTCATTTGCTGCAGGTTCTATGCTAAGCTAACATTAAAATCTAATAGGATTTAGTTAACTTGCCTTCATATGAAAATGTCATAGACATTATTTTTGTCACCTAAATTAAAATAGCTGGAACTTTTTAACATCCTATTAACAACTTTTAAACACTTTTTAATGTTACGATTTTACACAATGAGAAATTAGTTTCTTTATTATCAATTCCATGTGTTTGTTGATTCAATAAATATCTAATGGGTGCCAAGGCATTGTTCTAGGTAATGGCATACAAAAATTAACAAAACAAAATCCCTGTCCTCATGAAGCTGATTATCTGATTAAGGGAATGAATAACATAATTATTTCAAAGCATAGAAGTCATAGAATTAGACATTGGATCTGGAATTTAATTTAACCTGAATCACTCCATAAATTAGTAAACTAAGATGCAGCAAAATTATGTGATTTGCCCCAAAACACTCAATTATTTAATGGCAGACACTGGACAGACCCAAACCTCCACTGACAGTAGGATGCTGTGTGTTTCAAACATGTTCCTCTAATATCTGGGAGTTCTTCACAGCATCCTCAGAGACCATGTGGAAAGGAGGAGACTGAGCTGGTGGAATATGGGGCCCTCAATCCTGCTTCAAGCAGAGCAGTATTGTAATTATCTGGATTGCATATGTAATCTCCAGGGAAAGAGCTGCTTGAACAATGTAATCTGCTTATTTTATGTTAGAAAACCACTGCCCTCTAATGAAGAGGATCTTCTGAGAGATTCCATTGAGTGGAGGTGCATCCTGGGATCAGAGTTATAGATTCCGGAATTCTGTGGCCTCTTGAGAAATATCTATGCAAAAACATCAAAGTTATGTGGATCAGAAGCCATTATTTTAACTTATAGATGTTCTCAGAATTGAAATTCCTTGGATAATTTTTTAAAACAATTAATACTTTCCAAGGTTATTTTTGAGGCTGGGTATATTAGTCTCTGAGGAATTATCTTAGCTGAATAACTCTGCTAGTTTCTCACAAGCAGTCAGTCACTTTACCTGCACTAAACTCTATCTCTGAAGACAGTTCTACAATATGGGACTAGAGTGATTTATCTATTTGGTGGTCTAAAAAGGATTTGTGTGGAAATTGTCAGGAGGAAAATATGTAACATAATTTGGTTGGAACTCTTGGCTGTGACCCCTTTATCCTTAAGATAATATTTATTTTCTCCAATTTAAATTAATACCATTGATAGTTTAAAATTCTAGTATGAGATGGAATATGAAGGAAAAGAGGAATATAGGTAAATTGCAGAATGTTTAGAGATAAGAAATTGAAACAGTGATGATATTCTAACTTAAATAATGTCAGTAATGGCTAAAGGAACTAAGAATGTTAACCTTGAAGAATATAAGATCCAGATGGCATGGTAGGTATTTTCCAATTTTGAAGGGCTCCAGGATCTATGTACTGCCAAAGAATAGAATTAAGACCAAAAATGAAAATCTGAAGAAATAAATCTCTCTTCAGAATGGAAATCCCAAGAAACAAACTTCTATTCAGTATCAAGAAGAACTCGACCAGGCTACCTTGGGAGATGTGGTAGCGAGTTCTCAATCAGAAGACATTGTCAAGCATAGGCTGGAAAGTCATTCATAAAGTATATTGGGAAAAGATTAAGTACCATATATACAGTTGGACTAGATCAGTGTTCCTTGCAGATGTGAACACCTTTAAAAATTCATAAAGGGTCCTCCATCCAGAGAAAACACATAAACGTGCAAATTTTTTCTACAATATCATAGGATTCATGAACCCCTTGAGTTTCTGTAATCCTAATTTTTTAATAATAAAGTTAAAGGGTAATAGTCAGAGTCCTTTCTCCAACTTAAAAAAGCTAAAAACTAGGCTTTTTCTGATATGGAAGATATGAAGCTGAGATGTGCACTGGTTTGTTAAGTTGATTGTCTGGGTTTTTGTCTGTTTTGTTTTATTTTTCTAAGGATGATGGATATGAGGGGTGTGATTCAGAAAGGACTCCTTAGATCTCAGTTGAATGCCTTTCACAAAGCTTTCACTAAAAGAGTGCAGCAAGCAGGTAGCCTTTTTACTCAAGCCTCAGGCAGTAACTTGACCATTTTCTACCAGAAGGAAAAGTGAGAACTGCAAGCACAAAAGGGCAGACCTAGCTGATCTTCCAGGCTTGAGCCCACAGGAGTACATTCATCCTAGCTAACCAGGAGAATAACTATTTGATAAGATGAAACTCTAATAGCATGTCATTATTGAGATTTGGTGAAATTGGAAGGATAACCACTCAATCCACTAAAATCTTGTTTCCAATCCCAAAATTCCACAAATACTGCTCATTTCACACTCAGCAATAATCTCATAGTTAATAAATAAATGGATGTTTTCAGCTCCTGTACTTTTTCTTTTCTACAGCTCAGTGAAGGTCAAAAACAGCAACGAGAAATACTTCACAAAAAGAATAATCTCCGTCTGTATATAGTAGACCATGGATTGCCATTTTATCCCAAATTACCACCTTACTGGAATCCATTCATTCAAAAGCAGTCCCCTTTTAGTCAATCCAGACGCCGAAAGATTCGAAAGCCAAGAGGGAGAAAACCCACAAGGCCAAAACCTTCCTTGCCACCCAACTCTCCCATTGAAAACAACACTGTGGTCAACAATAACACCTCAGAGGCTACTACCCAAATCCCACCTGTGACTCCCCCACCTACCAAAATTAGTCCCCCTCCAAGTGTGACCTCTCCTGCTCAGAAGACTCCCACCACATTTGCAAGAGACGATAGCAGCCCTACAGGCTCTTCTGCAGCTGTAGCAACACCACATTTCCCAGCTTCACCAGAAGACACAGCTGTCCCACCTACAGCTTCCCCAACTACACCAGCACCACCAATCACCCCAGTTCCAGAGGAGACCACAGCTGCCCCAAACACCACACCTACTCCTTCCCTAACCACAGTCACACCTGAAATTCCCAAAACTACAGCTGCACCCACAACCCAAACTACTGCTCTAGATCCTAATAAAATTACTACTGCTGAAGATACAACTTCATCTGCTGTTAAAAAAATATTTCCTGAATTCTTCTTAACTCTTAGTAAGCTGTGGGAGCAAATTTTTAATATTGTAACAAAGAACTAGTACATCATACATTGTGAAGTGTTCTGTCATTAGATATGATTTATGAGTACAGAGCTATCACTTTACTTTTGCCACCAATCTCAAAGTGAAATCATAATATTACTCAAATTTAAAGCACTATCACTAATCTTGGAATCTAACTATTCACCTCACATGACCTATTAGCAGGAAAAATCACCTCTATCCCACAGATCAGGTGCCTGACCATGATTTAAGATCACTTTATGGAACCTACAGAGATAGATCACTGAGGGAAGAGAAAGCCATTAGATAAAGAAAGAAAACTGGATCAGCAACCATTTACTTTTCCCTAAATGTTGGAAACTCTAAGGTGACTACATTTTACCCCTAGTATGCCTGAACTACCTAATCGCACAAATATAAAGGGTTAAAATTAGGTTTCTTCAAATGAACAAAAACATCTATCAATAGACTGACCTTTCTGTATTACTGTATTACTGATTGGTAACAAAGATCTTTAAATCATCTCAAAAGTTTAAATGAAATTGCATCCCACAAAATGTGAGCCAAGAAAGGGGAAAGTTGCTATCAAGTGAAGATTTGAAGTGACTAAAAATGAAATCTGGCAGCCAAGCACAAACCAGGACTCTGGACACTATATTTTTGAGAGCATGTAATTGTTTAGAGCTCTTAATAGACATTTATTGTATTATAATCTAAGTTAAGATCTGATGTGCTTGATTCTAGCTTTTGTAAACCACAGAAGACTTTTTGTATGTTCACATGGTGCTCATAAGATTTTACTATTAATTCAATTAATTCAACTTACTATTAATTTAATTCACAATGTGGAATATATCAAGAGTGAATATTTTCTAAAACTTTTTATCTATACATTTCAATGTATTTTAAAGCAAACCATCCCAAACTACTGCCCTGTTGTCTTGTTTACAAAGTTGTCTCTGAAAATAAACCCTGATTCTACTCATAGAAGAATAAAAACTATCGACTTAATATAAAAAGATGGTGTTAATTTGGGATGTGGAGGTATTTTTATTTTCTGTCACTACTACTAAGAATTCTGATGATTGTACTTAGATCTTTTGTCAATAATAAATATTGCACATGGAAATCTATTTTTATTGTGTGTATTTGGAAGCTTTTTGTCTCTCTTAGGTTCTGAGAATGGATGAAAAGAGGCCTAAATGAAGTTTTGCATTCTTGTCAACTCTGCCACTAATTAGCCAGCGATCTGAGTAGGGCACGCTATATCTCTGAACATCAGTTTTTTTCATCAGTCAAACGAAGTAGTTAATTTACTTAGATTAACTTAATCTTTACTTAATCTTACTTATTAATATATGTTTTCAGTTCAGATTTGGTGTTTGTCCCATGCATGTCAGACTGATAATTAGACTGCTATCCCTCTCACTTAACTCTGTTCCTTCCAGTCTCATTTTGGAGTAGCTCAGTACTTTTTTGAATTATTTTAAAAGAATAGTAACTAGTCCTTTCCCTGGGAATATTCGCCAGTTTTAGAGTGGCCAAAACATGTCATCTTGAGGCTGAAAACTTCACCATTATCAACATACACTTCATTATGTGAATTGGAATTCTAGGTCAAAATCTTGAATGAGATGAATGGTTTGGGGTAGAATGTAATGGAGTGGAACAGAACAAAACAGAGAATCACATTGTCCCCAGGAAGAACTGTATGTGTTACAACACTACACCAGTTGCCCTGAGCAGTGTGAGACACAAAGAAGGTTAACACTATACAATTTCTTTATACTGACATAACTTATGCTTAGTTAGGAAGCAAAACAAGGGAGAATTCTAACCCTCGTTGACATAAATGTCTAGAAATTTCACTGTATTTTTTGTAAAGGAGAACGTGCACATCAACATTTTTAAAGTTCATGGCAATCGTAATATTTTAATTGAATCTTTATAAGTTATCCTTAAAATAGCCCATTTTACTACTAAAAGAAAAGAATGAAGAAGTGAAAAATATAGAGGCACGGTTCAAGCTCAACCCCTGGATCTAGAAGTATAATAGTGATAACTCTGATAAAATTTTTGACTGTAATCAACAAACCGCAACTAAAATATGAGCCCTCTTCAGGGAAGAAAGTAAAATATGCAAAACCCAATGAAAATGACAGACTGTAATGCATTATTCATAATGATATTCCATAACAGGATTTCCTTTATTTTTTAAGGCTGGCTGATATTGCATTTTGTATATATCATATATGTGTGTGTGTGAGTGTGTGTGTGTGTGTGTGTGTGTATGTATCTCACATTTTATTGATTCATTCATCTGTTGATGGACACTTAGGTAAGTTTCCTTGCCTTAGACAGCTATTGTGAATAATGCTGCAGTGAACATGGGACTATAGAAATCTCTTTGAGGTAATGGTTTTGTTGCCCTTGGATACATACCTGGAAGTAGGATTGCTGGATCATATAATAGTTCTATTTTTAATTTCTTCCTGGAGGTGCAGGAATGATTCAACATCCACAAACCAATCAATAAGACACACCACATTAACAAAATGAAAGAAAAAAATCATCTTAACAGATGCAGAAAAAGCATTTGACAAAATTGAACAGCTATTCATTTCAAAAACTCTCAACAAACTGGTATAGAGGGACTGTATCTCAATGTAATAGAGGCCACATATGATACAAGCCTATAGCTACACTCAATAGTGAAACACTGAATGCTTAGATGGAAACTAATCTTTAAAATTTATATAAAAGAAAATAATTTTAATTAAAAAATAAAATTAAAAAACTTAAAGGCTGAAAAAGGTTAAAACCAAAAAAATAAATAAATAAATGAATGAAAGCTTTTCCTTTAAGATCAGGAGCAAGACAAGGATGCCCATTCTCACTACTGTTATTCAACAGGGTAATGAAAGTTATAGCAAGAGCAATTGGGAAAGAAAAAGAAATAAGAAGCAACCAAATCAAAAAATACTAAGTAAAATTTTCTAAATTTGCTGATGACATGATATTATATACAGAAAATCCTAAAGACTCTACCAAAAATTATTTGTACTAATAAAAAAATTTAGTAAAGCTGCAGGATACAAAATGAATATACCAAAAATCAGTTGTATTTCTATATACTAACAGTGAACTACCAGCAGCAATATTTTTAATTCAATTCAGAATTGTATCCAAAAGAATAAAATATGTAAGAATAAATTTAACCAAGGAGGTGAAAGATCTGGAATCTGAAATGTATAAGACATTGATAAAAGAATTAAAGAAGATATAAATAAATGGAAAGATATTCTGTTCTCATTGACTGGAAAATTAATATTGTTAAAATATCCACTGTACTCAAAGCAATCTATAGATTCAATATAATCTGTCAAAATTTCAATGATATTTTAAAAAATGGAACAAACAGTCCTAAAATCTGTATGGAACCTTAAAAGATTCCAAATAGTCAAGGCAATCTTGAGAAAAAGAGTAAAACTGGGGACATCATACTTCCTAATTTCAAACTATATTACAAAGTTATAGTAATAAACACAGCATGGTAGTGGCACAAAAAAAAGACACATTATCAGTGGAACAGAATATAGAGCTCAAATTAATCCATACATATATGGTCAACTAATTTAGAACAAAGGAGTCAAGAATACACAATGGAAAAAAATAGTCCTTTAATAAATGGAGTTGGGTAAACTGGATATTGTTTTGCATGTGGCAAAAGAATGAAAATGGACCACTATCTTACACCATACACAAAAATCAGCTGAAAATGGATTAAAAATTTGAATGTAAGACTTGAAACTATAAAACTCTTAGATGAAAACATTAAAAGTAAGCCTCTTGATATCAGTCTGGATGATAATATTTTGGATTTGGCACCAAAAAGCAAAGGACATAAAAGCAAAAATCTACAAGTCAGACTACATCAAACTAAAAAGCTTCACTTAGCAAGGCAACCAGCAATAAAATGAAAAGTCAACCTATAGAATGGGAGAAAATAACTGCAAACCACATTTTTTGATAAAGGGTTAATATCCAAACTAACAAGGAACTCATTCAACACAATAGCAAATAAATAAGTAAATAAATAAATAAATAAATAACCCAATTTTAAAATTGGCAAAAGACTTGAATAGACGTTTTTCAAAAGACACACAAATGGCCAACAGGTACCTGAAAAGATGCTCAACAAATCAAAACCACAATGAGGTATGATCTTACACCAATTAGGAGGGCTATAATCAAAAAGACAAGAGGTAACAAATGCTGGTGAGGATGTGGAGAAAAGGGAACGCTTGCACACTATTAGTGGGAATGTAAACTCGTAATAGCCGCCATGGAAAACAGCATGTAGTTCCCGAAGAAATTAAATACAGAACTACCATATATGATCAGCATCTTACTTCTAGATGTATATCCAAAGGAAACAAAATCATTATCAAGAAGAGTTATCTGTACTCCTATGTTTGAAGCATTACTCACAATAGGAACTACCTTAGTGTCCATCAACAGATGAATAGACCAAGAAAATGCGATATATATATATATATATATATATATATATAGTGGAATATTAGCCTTTAAAAATAAGGATCAAGAAAATGTGACATATATAATGGAATATTAGTCTTAAAAATAACTGGAAACCCTTTTATTTGCAACAACATGGATGAACCTGGATGGCATTATGCTAAGTGAAATAAGCCAGACAGAGAAAGACAAATCCTGCATGGGGTCATTTATATGTGGAATCTTAACAATAACAACAAAAAAGTCAAACTCACAGAAACAGAGAGTAGAAAAGTGATTGCCAAGTGCAGGGGGGATAGGAGAAATAAAAGAACATTGGAAGAAGGGTACAAAATTTAGTTTACAGAATAAAGTCTGAAGATCAAATAATGTATAATGTGGTAACTATAGTTGATAATATTGTATTGTATAATTGATACTAGCTAAAAGAGCAGAACTTATGTTCTCACCAAAAAGAGTCAATATATGAGGTGAAGGTTATGTTAATTGGGGAATCCTTTAAATTATATATATATAATGCCAAATACATATTATTCATTCTAAACTATCACCCTCCTTTTCCATTACTGCTGGACTCCACTAAGTGTTACATGAGAGAATTAGATAATTTAAAGTATAAATATAGACACCTCTAGAGTCACCCCTGAGGCCCGAAGCTTGGTGTTGACCTTGGGGAGGGGGAAGAAACTAGTGGATTTTCAGAGATTTCATTGAGAATTATAATTAAGTTTGTTCTGGTAAAAAAGAATAAGAGGAAACATTGTGAAGTGCTCAGAGGTGTAGGCATGGGAGTCAGACAGATTGGTACTGACTCATTCCTGCCATTTATTGGCAAAATAACCTTGAGCAACCTCTCCTTCAGGTTTCTCATGAAAATGATAATAATGCTTCATCTTAAAAAGCAGTTAAGAAGTTTAAAGGTGCTGATACACCTGCGGAGTAACTACTAAGTAAGTGGCTGTTGTCAGAAAATCATCTATTGTTATTTCTCACTGCCCACCTACTTAAGAATTAGAAAGCTCTCTGCTTTCGTCATTTCACATCAGCTTAGTACTTGGCAGGCAGTTTCTCCACAGCGGAACAGGTTGTTGTTGATCCTGGCTTCCCCAGAACTCATTCATTCACATCTGCTAAATCCTAGAAACTAGGCTCCATATTAAAAATCAGGGAGTTAGGTTAGGTAAACTTTTCAGTCCTTACTAGCTCTTGATTTTTGTCCTTTTCTTCAGTGTGTCTTTCAAAGATTCAACAGCAGATTGAATATTAAAGCAATATATCAAAGATTTCAGATCATTTGAATTTAGGCTTCATCTTATACTGAATCAAATATGCCCTCTGCATTACTGATTCTGTTTTTGAGGAAAGACAATACAGTAAAATATTTTGGAAAAGGCTTGTGTCATGTTATTATGTCATATGTTATGTAAACTAGGTAAAAAGTAAAGAAAAGGGAAATTTTCTAAATTCTTTTTGCATTTATTTCTGAAGATATGTAAAATATCAATAGACACATCTAAAGCACCAATGGTCACTGAAGAATTCATTTTTGACACCTTTACCTAATTCTGTAGAAAAATACATGTAGATTTC